CTTTAGACTTGGACATTCATTTACTTATATTTATGTCAATTATTTAGACAATCTCTGGTTAATGGTGGCGGTGCTTCATTTTATAACTTTTCAAACCTTGAGACCTTAATTTTGTTTCGTCTGCTAGGTTTAGGTATTGTAGCTTTGGTTAAGGTTTTCAGGAGAGGTGTATCAGTAACAGATAGGTGGCATTACATATCGCACGTTATCTTTCCTTTCCTTGGCACATGAACAGCATCTGGGCTAGGCAAAAAATTCTTGGGTCACAGAACTCCCCCTTCACATTGTACTGATATTCCTTCATTTTTCCCTGTGTTTGCTGTGGTAGAATATGGGATCAGCTGAATTTTTTGTAAGTGACTTACAAAAGAACCCAAATCCTTCTCTTTCATTATGTTCACATCATTTTACGGGGTTGTAATTGGCTTATTCAGACCCCAGGATAGAAAATGACCCATCTGAAGACCTCAGGCTCCAACCGTATCACAAGAGTTGTCTGGTTTTGTTTGTGTAATTGTTTTATTATTACCGCCAGGTTTCGAAGGTAGATATCCCCTCAGAGAATATTCCAGATTCCCTGAGTAGTTTCCAGGTCCAGGTCCTATATCCCTCTTTTGTTCTCAGAAATAGTTCCTGTCAGAGTGGGAAGACGTGATCTTGGATATTTAGTTTCAATCCTTTGTGAAAAGCTGTAAAGATAATTTTCTACCCTTAGCTGTAAAGCACTTTTGGTGGGAAATTAAAATTCCTCTAAGAGGATTCAACTCTCATTTGGGTTACCCTAATTTTAAAAATTTTGGCTGTTAGAATTTTCTTTAATGTTCATGAAGAGGTATTTTTTATTTCCCATGAAGATTCATTGTCCTTAGCAGTGAATTTTGAACTTTGTTTTCTTAAACATCCAAATTAGGTTTTCCTTTAGTTTTCTTTGTTATTGATGTCTAACTTAACCTTAGAGGTGGGCTTCCCTGGTGGCGCAGTGGTTAAGAATCCGCCTGCCATTGCAGGGGACATGGGTTCAATCCCTGGTCTGGGAAGATCCCACATGCCGTGGAGCAACTAAGCCCCTGCGCCACAACTACTGAGCCTGCGCTCTAGAGCCTGCGCTCTAGAGCCCGTGCTCGGCAACAAGAAAAGCCACTGCAATGAGAAGCCCGCACACCGCGATGAAGAGTAGCCCCCGCTCTCTGCAACTAGAGAGCCCGCGCACAGCAACAAAGACCCAATACAGCCAAAAATAAAATAAATAAATTTATTTAAAAAAACAAAAGAAATTAGAGGTAACTTTAAATCAAAAAGGGCATAGCATAGAGATGACAAGAGGGCACCTTCAACCCCAGCATGGAAATGAAGTTCCTATTCCAAAAAGAAACATCCTCACAATCTCAGCTTACTGATTTGGAGCTTCAGTTCTCTTACAGTTTGTACTTGGATGGGAGTCAGGGGGAAGGAGACACTCTTCAGCCAGCCATTTTGATATTGGGTATTTATGTATCATTTCTTCCTAAGTCTCTTCTCATTTCTATTACAATTTGTTTTGGGAGCTGTCAGTGATTTAACAGCATCTTTTAAAACTTTTTATAAAACTAAGTAGTTTTGTGTGTCAGCCCAGTATCCACTAGTGTCACCCATGCTACCCTTCTGCTATGTGCAGATGGCGGCATGTCCGCACCTGAATCTCTCCTGTGTCCCCCACTGTCAACAGCCAAATGTACTCACCAGGGGAGTCTGCCATCCCCTTCTGTTCACCTCTACTGTGGTCCCCATGTTCCTGCCTCCCTAGAGACCATTTCTTTCCAGAGCAGCGGTTTTCAAGAGAAATATAATGCAAGCCACATACGTAATTTTAATTTTTTTTTTTTTTTTTTTTTGCGGTACATGGGCTTCTCACCACTGTGGCCTCTCCTGTTGCGGAGCACAGGCTCCGGATGCACAGGCTCAGCGACCATGGCTCACGGGCCCAGCTGCTCCACGGCATGTGGGATCTTCCCGGACCGGGGCACGAACCCGTGTCCTTTGCATCGGCAGGCGGACTCTCAACCACTGCGCCACCAGGGAAGCCCTGTAATTTAAAGTTTTCTAGCACCTGCTTTAGAGAAATTAAAAAGAAACAAGTGAAATTAATTTTAATAATATACTTAGTTAACCCAGTATATCCAAAATATCATGATTTCAACCTTCAATCAGTCTAAAACTTATTAATGAGTTAATTTGCATTCTTTTTTTTTCACACTGTGTCTTCAAAATCTGGAGTGTATTTTACACGTAGGTGTTCTCAGTTTGGACTAGATGTATTTCAAGTGCTCCATGGCCACAGGAGACGGCTACCTTATTGGACAGTACAGCTCTAGAGAATGATTTTATGTACACTCTCCATCTCTCTTCCTGCCTCCTTTATTCTCATTGCCCCAACACCCCCCAGAGCCTGTGACTATTGCCTCCCTCTCTCCTTTCTTTCCATTTGTCATGATCTTTTTTTAACATGGAAAATCATTTCCTTTCTTAAAATTCTGGCCTGATTTCTTCTGTCTTACATTCCTCTAATCCCCATTTCAGGGGGTGACACACCCTTTTGTCTTGGTTGGGCATTTGCTTGCAATTACCTCCTAATGATTATTTTCTTTGACCCATTAGTTGACTTAGATATGTTTCTTATTTAAAAAAAATGTATCTTTCTTGACAGATCTCTAAATTAATTTTAGAGTTAAACTAGAAATCATAAATTTAGAGGTTTGTATAGAGTCCCTTATGTTTCTGCCTTGATTTTAAAAATAGCCCATATAGGTATATGTATTTTAGGATTATAATATCTCACTCTAAGTATTGCTTTACCTCACTGAATATTTTTGATAATTATTTTTATATCTTTTCTATATATTTTAGGGTTTCCATTAAACTGATGTAGAATTAAACTGATATAGAATTATATCAGAATAACTTATTTTAAAAAATTCCTACTTGAATGGGAGTGACTTTTACCTAGGAAAGTACATAAAAATGGATGTCTTGAAGAAGTTCTTTCCTGTGCTATAATGGAGTGTTTTCAGGAAACAAGGTGTCAGACCCCCCCCCACCCCGCCACTCCCCCAGGAGGGAAGGTGGAAAGTAGGGGTTCTCAGAGTGCCAGGGTCACAGATTTTTCTGAAAGGTTTACATGGGGACCCTGGTTGGGCCCATCACTACCTGATGGAACACTCCCTGACTGGTACCTTTTATTTGTAGACATGATGCTGAAAATGCTCTTTCAGCGTCTTGAAAGTTTTTATATTTGAGAAGTTTACAGAGAAACCCCTAGCAAAGGCTTCAGGTCCCTTCTGCTTCTTTGCTCTTCACTACCTCCCCTAGACCTAGTGTTAGATTAATTAATAGTGTGATCCTTGGACCAGTAGCATCAGTGTCTCCTGGAAACGTGTTAGAAAAGCAGATTCTCAGGCCCTGCTGAATCAGAAACTCTGGAGGTGGGGCCCAGCAATCTGTCTTTAAGAAGCCCTTTGGGTGGGTCTGCTGTACCAAATTTGAGTTACTGACACACATCTGCTCTCTACCTGGCCCTTGCACAGGCATCTGGATCCTCTTGGAATCTCTACTCCCCAGTGCCCCATCCTGGAATTTTCTAGTCCCTGCTACTTGAAGGCTGTCTTCCACAGCCCCTACGCTTCCTGGCTTTGGTTTCTAGTGAGTTCTGTGGTATGTATGTCCATGTTTGTGACATTCTGGGAGGGGTGGCCCAGGCTGTGATTTACCACCTACTGCTGCAGGCATTAGTGGTGTTCAGAAGGGAAGGGAGAAGCTGTGCTCATGTGTTTCCCACTAAACAGAGAGACTGACACTCTCTATAGCTGTTTTATTTTTATTTTATCTCCTTGTCAACTTCACAGTGTAATAAATGCAGTTTATGTAAACATCTCTACTGGGAGATGCATAAATATAAGTATTTATGTGAACATATAAAGTCTGCATATGTGGGTAATCTCCCCATACATATCATTTATTTATCCATCATTACACACCTGTGGTGTCTAGCTGATTCCTCTACCTTACTTCTGTCTCTGTACCCATCTCTACCTGAACATGTAGTAAATATTTTATTTTGAAAATAGACAAATATTATGTTTCCTTTGTGTTTTCTCTTTCATGGTGGAGCCTTCCCTCTGCTGGGGCTTCACTGTGAGACCCGCAGGATTCAAGGTCCTTTGGGAGGTCCTGGCTTCTCCTGAATCCTCTCTCACCTCTCCTAACTGCTCTCTCCGGCCAGCTCTGCTGGAACAGAAGGTCTTGCCTGCCACCCTATGGCCGCAGGTGACACAGCAGAGGTGTGGGCAGCTGTCTCTTGACTGATTCCTAGTCTCGCCTCTGAACCTGAGTTCCCACATGCATGGATTTAAGCACTGTCTTTCTGAGGAAGGAATTGTGCTCATTTTCCTCATCTCCTCTTGAGGGGCTGTTTCCCGTGTTTATTGACTCCTCGTTTGTGCCCATCACTTGCTAATGTTATCCATGCTGCCCTCTATCTCTGTGTAAGATGGGAAAGCCTCCACACTTGACTGTCTCTTGTTTTTCATCCAATGTTACTCCCTGAATATACCCTCCAGGGGTATCTGTCTTCTTCGTTCCACATCTAGCACAATCCTTGTGTATCCACCTCCCTAAGGACTGTTTCTTTTTTTTAATATATATTTTAAAAAAATTTATTTATTTATGGCTGCGTGTGTCTTCGTTTCTGCGCGCAGGCTTTCTGTAGTTGCAGCGAGAGGGGGCTACTCTTCGTTGTGGTGCGCGGGCTTCTCATTGTGGTGGCTTCTCTTGTTGTGGAGCACGGGCTCTCGGCACGCGGGCTTCAGTAGTTGTGGCACACGGGCTTAGTAGTTGTGGCTCGCAGGCTCTAGAGCACAGGCTCAGTAGTTGTGGCGCACGGGCTTAGTTGCTCCGTGGCATGTGGGATCTTCCCAGACCAGGGCTCGAACCTGTGCTCCCTGCATTGGCAGGCAGATTCTTAACCACTGCGCCACCAGGGAAGTCCCAAGGACTGTTTCTTTATAGTGATTTTATGCAAAAACTCCATATGTTCTTCCTGCCTCCTGTATCCCCATGAGCACCTCTCTCTGCCCCCATCTAATTATTTCTTCCCTCTCTCATATCCTATTGTTCTGTTAGTTTTCTGCCCTGAAAGTTGACTGCTAGCTTCTTAGTTTTCTGCCTTAATTTCTAAGTCATAGATTACTTTCAGGCTAAAAGTTTCCTTCTAACCACTGTTTTATTCCTCATCATTCATTGGAAATTAAATCAATTTTTAATAATTTGACTCATCAGTGATTTAGACTAGCCCTTCTTCCCCAGTTCTGTAGTTTTGTTTTTCCCTTTTGTGGTCATTTTTATTTAAACTTTTGACCTTACTGAAACTAGAACTTCCGTCCAAAAATGTATATAGAGCTGAAGTTTTTGCCCTGTTTTTTTGGGCACTGTGTTTAAGGTGGTATCTCTGGGTACTCAGGTAACCTCATTCCACAGATTTCCATCTGAAGTTATTTTCACTATTGTTTCTTCTAATGATTTTGTAGATTGCAGGTCAATTTCTTATTCAACTTACCAGTGACACCGTAGTTTGTATGGCTTTTAATTTCAAAGAATATTTTTTCACTTTTTTTCTTTTTAACTGATTTTTATCTGATGTTAATTGTAACCAGATATGTTCCCTAGATAGGCATGACTAGATTTTTTTCCATTGTGTTTATAATTTAAATGGATTTTCACATCTTTGAGCCTCAGAGCCCAGATAGGAGTGTGGGAAATAGGACTCCTCAAAGGACAGAGATTAAATCTCAAAGCTCTTAGATTTATTAAGCAAACTCAGGTCCAGGGTAAAAGGGTTCTGTACCCCCAATTCCAATGTGTGGGGTTTTTTTCCTCCACACATCCAAGCAATTCTGGGACACCAAATGAGTGTCCTACAATTCAACTCAATTCTGACACTGTTTACCCAGAGATAGCATCAGATTCCACAGGTGAGGGGCTCAGTCCTGCAAGACTGTTCCCCACTCCACCCACCCAAGGTACCAGTCATAAGTCCAGGTTGTCACCTGGGCTTCTGACCAACTGGCTATAGACTGGAGGTGCCAACAACCCCCTCCTCATTTAATTTGCTGGAGTGGCTCACAGAATCCAGAGAATCATTTTACTTACTAGATTACCAGTTTATCATAAAAGATTATAACTCAGGAACAGCCAGATGGAAGAGATGCATAGGGCAAGGTATCGGGGAGGGGTGCAGAGCTCTCATGCTCTCTGAACACGCTAGTCTCCCTGAATCTCTACCAACCTGGAAGCTCTCCAAACCCCAACCTTTTGGGGTTTTATGGAGGCTTCATTACATAGGTGTGATGGATTAAATCATTGGTCTTTGGTGATTGATTCAATCTCCAGTCCCTTTCCCCTCCCTGGAAGGGAGAAAGGGGAGAAAGTTCCCAGGGCCCCATCATCACCCAATCTGCTGTTATGTTTGATTTATTATAGATAACCTGTCAGCCTGGATCTCTCTTCACAGACTGTGTACACATGTCTACACATAAGGATCTGGATTATCTCAGGATCCCACCTCCTCTGCTCCCACCCCCCCAACCCTCCATCCCTTCTCTGACACTTTTCAGTCCCTCCATTTCATTTGTGCTCCTCTCAGCCCCATGCCTGACTTTGGTGCCCACTGAGTTCTTTTAGAAACACTCCACATTCAGGGATATGAAATCCTTGGTGAGGTCTGTCAAGGATTGGAATAGGGTGCTGGGCTGATCCTCCTTCCTGAACCCCTGTGCAGTCGGGGAGGCTGATGCTAACATGCAAACCTTTTTCTTTTTTACTTCTCCAGGCAAAGGGATATTGGGAAAGATTCTGGAGTAGAGTGTTAAGATTTAAGAGTATTCTTTGAATATTTGCACCATGATGGGCCTTGGAGGTGCCTTGAGGGTGGTGCTTTGAGTGGAGTAGTTATCAGGAAATTGTGGATTTTAAGGAAGTCAGGAAAGAAGACATCACTGACAATTCAACAATTCAGGGTAAGCTCCTAAAGGACTCTTTCTGGCTACTTAATGCCCAGAAGCCAACCCCTCACCTCTTATCAAAGCTATAGGCCACTAGGCGCCAATGAGGTTCATGTAGCATCAGATCTATCTATGCTTTTCCTTAATGTGGGGATTTGGGGTCAGAATTTAAGGAAGCACCAAAAACACTCATTAATCAAGATAAATATTTTAATGTATTATCTTAAAAATAAAAATGATGAACCAAATCTCCCCCTCCCCCCAATCCATGATGAACAAAACTGTCAAATTATGCCTCCTCTTCACCCCTGTCTCCCTCACCATCACCACCACCACCACCACCACCACCACCACCACAAGCTCGGAAAGTTTCCTCCAAGCGATACCTGTACCAGGGTTTGCTGGCTCGAGCCGTGGGGCTTCATTATACTGCTACCACCAGGGAACCTTTTGCTCTTTACCCAAGTCCAGCCTCTCCACTCCTCAAAATCCCGGGCACACAAGACGAAAGCCACTCCCACCGCCATTCCAAGTTGGCCCAAGCCAATCCCGCTCTCTCCGAAAACAGCCTTGGTGTTCCCTGTCTATAGTGGCGCCCCCTCCCAACCTCGGGGACGTAAAGCCGGTGTCGCTCCTATCTGGGCGTCCCAACAGAGCATCACCCCCCTTCCCCACCCTCCAAGTGCTTTACTCTGAGCCGCGCCCACATCGGCCCGCCTCTGGTCCAGCCCGTGCCCACCCTGGTTTCAGCTCCGGGAAGGGGACACCAGTGGAGACTTGGGTGGGGAAGCTTAGCTCCCCCGCGCCGCTGAAGGTCAGTGCGCACAGTCTGGTCACCCGCCGCTGCAACACCGGGCTCCAGGACCACATTTCCTAGACTTCTCGGCGGTGTCCGCGACGCTCTCGTGGCCTGCAGATCTCATTGGCCCTCGACGGAGAAACTGGTGAACCTCGCGGTCTGGGCACCTTAACAACGGGCTCCTAAATTTAGCTGTAAAAGAGGTGCAGATGTGAGAGTCACCCTGCCATGGAGAAGCCCACGCCCTCCTCCTCTCCACCCCAAGACTACACTCTCCAGAGGCCTCTGCGGCCACTTCCGCCCTCTCTTCCGCTCGCCCCTTAGCGTGAGGAGTTGGCGTAACAGGAACACTTCCGGCCGGTGGAGTCCGCCCATTAGGCTGGTTGGCAACGGTGTAGACAACTGTATTCGGGTCCTTCTCACACCTCTGCTCTTGGTTCCCGAGCTTCAGCCTCAGAATCGGTAACGTGCACCCCGCGTTCCGTGAGTGCCCAACAGTCACTGCCTCGTCCACTCAGCATGTCCCCATGCTTGTCCCGGTTTTACTCACGAGGGCACAGTCTGCCTTAGGGACAAACCCTTACTCCACTGCTGGAGGATATGGGCTTCACTCTCTGGCCAGAGCTTGGGGCTGAGCTTGAGGGTGTTCCGTCACCCTGGACCCTTTCTCCAGGAGGCTAGATGGGAATTGGCTTGTGGTGGTGAATTCTGTGACACTCCCAATCCCCAGTAGTGGGGCTCTGGAGCACACCCCGCCTGCACATGGGAGGGTTTTTCCAACTAGGCATGCTCTTTTTTCTCTTCACATCCTCAGATCTGCCTTCTGAGACTTTGCCCTTCTTCAGGGAGAGCACTCAGGAGATCAGGAAAATGGCCACGGGGCTCCTGAAAGCCAAAAAAGAGGTGAGAATTTCCGTAAAATTCCATCTTGGCTGTCAAGAGGATGAATCCATTCCCCTTTCTTGCTCTGGAGGCTGCCTTGTTGGTATTGGGCAAAGCTCTTTCCTGGTCCTGGAGGAGTGGCTTACATGGAGTTTCCCTCAACATTTCTTTCTGCTCCATCCATACTTCAGTCATCCTCGAAGTAGTTAATTGTGAACAACACACATGGAGCAATTTAAATAAAAATACAGGGACATCCAGGCTTAATTGTCCAGTGATAAGGATGAAAGGCAGGGACAGCAGAGTAGACTGTGGCCTGAAGTGGCTAGGGAGGACTTCCAGGAGAAGTAGGGCTGTTTGAACTACCCCTGCGAGTCTGGTACATTGGAGAATTGGTGAAGACATACCAGTGGGAGGGCAGGAAGAATGGTTAGTCTGAGGCTGGGCCACTGGGCACACTGCCCTTAACACAGTGTGGGAAGATCGTATTTTAGGTTGATTTTTAAATAATGTACCGGTGAAGATACAGACTATCTTCACCAGTACATGATATAGTCTAACCTGAATTTTACATTTGAGAGCATTTTCAGCATCTGGCAATGGGGAGATTTCACCAAAAATTCTGGATTGCTTGCCTCTCAGAAAATAAACTGCACTCTACTTTGGTGTCAGGGAATTTGAGCTGAACAGTGTCTGCATCATTTGGACAGGTCCTGCAGAGTCTATTTGCTGTAGTTTCCATAGTATCCTCCATACTGAGGTTGAAACCATTGAAATCTAACGTTTTGCCTGTCTCTGTAATTTTTATTACCTGCCTGGCCCCAGAAGGATTTTTATTTTCCACCTCTCTGAGTCTGGGTGGCCAGGTCAAGTGCCAGGCTGAGGAGTGTAGACTTTGTCTTTGAGTAAGATGGATTTTTTTTTTTTTTTTTTTGCGGTACGCGGGCCTCTCACTGTTGTGGCCTCTCCCGTTACGGAGCACAGGCTCCGGACGCGCAGGCTCAGCGGCCATGGCTCACGGGCCCAACCGCTCCGCGGCGTGTGGGATCTTCCCGGACCGGGGCACGAACCTGTGTCCCCTGCATTGGCAGGCGGACTCTCAACCACCGCGCCACCAGGGAAGCCAAGTAAGATGGATTTTGAAGGATGTTGAGAAGGGATTTGACATAGGAAATCAGAGCTATAGGCACATAGGAACTTAAGGGGAAATTTTCTAACCCCTGAGAATGGTGACTATGATGAGTTTGACTTAATTGAATAGGACTGATATTTATTGAGCACCAACACAGTTGCCAGGCTTGTTTACTATCATTTTTGATATGCACTAACTTTGTTATTTCAGATCTGCCTTCGTTGTCTTGATTTCTTGTTTTTTTAAAATAAATTTATTTATTTTAATTATTTATTTTTGGCTGAGTTGGGTCCTCATTGCTGTGCACGGGCCCTCTCTAGTTGCGGTGAGCGGGGGCTGCTCCTCCCCATGGTGCACGGGCCCCTCACTGTGGTGGCTTCTCTTGTTGCGGAGCATGGGCTCTAGAGTGCAGGCTCAGTAGTTGTGGTGCATGGGCTTAGTTGCTCGGCGGCACGTGGGATCCTCCCGGACCAGGGATCGAACCCGTGTCCCCTTCATTGGCAGGCGGATTCTTAACCACTGCACCACCAGGGAAGCCTTCTTGGTTTATTCTTAATCCTGGTCTCCATGTTAGAGATTTACAATTTCCTAGGCATTATCAGAACAACTTTGAGAGTTCTGCATTTCTTATTTGTAAAATATTATATTCATCTGAAAAGTGTTAGTACCAAGAATGCATGGGAAATCTGGGGCATTTCCTAAGGTAACATTGAATCTTTTGTGTGTACTTTCTTCCCCACTTATAATGTTACTAGGGAAGCATTCTGATTTTCTGGGAAAAGCCAGAAATTTGTGTGAGCTGACTTTTCCTGCTCTTAATACTTTAAAAAAGAAAAAAGAAGAAAAAGCATTATGAAAACTTGACGAAAGTGCACAAGCATTTGAATTGTGTAAGTTGTTTAAGATGAAACCTGTGTGCCTAGAGGAGTACCTGGCACACATGATATGTTTGGTGCATGGAGGAACCACACCTTAAAGAAATTAATTTGAAGGAACTAATAAGTAACAAGGGAGTTTCTGTTTGTTTTGATATGTTATTTGGGGCATGTAATTAACCACATATTTCAGGGGGTTTGAGGAGGATTTCCAGGTACTCTAATATGCATGACCTCTGAATTACATGCAACAATTTAAGCAAATATACAGTAGGATATTAGCTATCACTGCCTGAGAGGGTAAAGTAGAATTTGTAACAAATGAGTTGGGCTGGCAGGAACATGATGTTACTAATTCTTAGTATTTTCTCCTTGATTCCATTGAACAAATTTGCTGAATGTTTACTGTTTGCAGAACTCTTGATAGACTACATTCAGTGATGTGTAAAGCACAGCCTGCACACTTATGAGTCTTGCATTTTATTTTTAGATTTCTCTATCATTGGGATTTGGTCAATTTTATATACATACACACACACACCCCTACATACATACATTTTGATAGACCTTAATGATAAGATCGTATTGTATTAAAGCTAGTGACATTATATCTACTCAGACCCATTTTTTAATAGATGAAGGAACAACCAACATTTATCCAACTGAAAGCGATTTCTATAATAGTGCTTTGAGTGAATGATCCAATCCACTAATTCTCAATTTGGGGGAACATTTAACTTGTTCCCAATATTTAACTGTTGCAAATAATGCTTCTGTGGTCAACTTTGTGCATGAAATTCTTTTATAGATTTGTATTTATTCTCAAAACTAAAATATGACAAAGTGAGTAGAAATAAATATTTTGAAGCAATGAGCACTCACACCAGTTGGAGCTTTGGAACCCTGCTTGTTCTAAAACATGTGATCCTATCAATTATTTCTTCCTTTTTTGAGATTCCTTTCTTCCATCACCATGTTTCACTTTACATTGTGCAGTTTTTTTGTTTTTGTTACACTGTGCAGTGTTACATTCCCAGGGTAGACCTACCAGTGCAGATCTTCTTCTCTCATGTGAATGTTCACAATAATGTCCTGATTTGTTTCCCCATGTTGATATGTTCCTTTGCTACCCATTGCATCTGTAATCCTCACGTCCCCCAAACATTACAGTAACATCACTTTTCTGTTCAGAAGTCTTCCTTCAGTGTCTCAACAACAGTGTCTTAGATATTCAGGGCAGTCTTCAATTCAAATGTGTTCTGTTTATGACATCATGTTCTGACTATTCATTCTGAAAATGTGTTTATTGCCAGCACAGTGGAGTAATCTCTTTAATTTAGATTAAATTCACTTTTTAGGCACTTGGCTGGAAAAAGAGAGAAAAATAACTATTCAAGTCATTCAAATAAATCTCCTCTATCACCTAATGACTTCATGTCTGGGAGGCAGTGAGAAATGGGAGGACTGAATCTGTTGCTGTGTGAATCTCTCTTAGGCGTTTGTGACAGCATGAGCATCTTGGCAATCAATTAACCTTGATCTCAAGGTTAATATTACTTGCAAAGTATTTTTCATATAACATGATTCCTTTATCAATGTATAGGTTAGCTTTGCTTCATAAAAAACTACCCAAAACTTAGTGACTTAAAACAAAATAATTTAGGGACTTACCTGGTGGTCCAGTGGTTAAGACTCCGTGCTCCCAATGCAGGGGGCCTGGGTTCCATTCCTGGTCAGGGAACTAGATCCCGCATGCTGCAATAAAAGTTCCCGCATATCGCAACTAAAAGATCCCACATGCTGCAATGAAGATCTCACACGTGGCAACGAAGATCCCGAGTGCTGCGACTAAGACCCTGTATAGCCAAAAACTAAATAAATATTTAAAAAGAAAAACAAAATAATTTATTAGCACACAATTTGATAGGTCAGCATTTTGAGCTGGGCACAGACGGATGTTTTGCAGGTTTCACTTGTGCTCTTGTTGCTGCAGTCAGCTGGTGGTTTGACTGGGGCTGGGTGACTATCCATGCATGACAGTTACCAAGCTGGTTGTCTCAGGTGTGTTGGTTTTTCTTGGTTCTTTTCCACGTAGGCTTGGGTTTGTTCTAGAGACTCTGCTTAGGCTTGATCAAACGATGGTCTTGGGTTTCCCTACACAGCAAGAGAGAGGACAACCCCAATGGACAAGCACGTTTTAAGCCTCAGCTTGTGTTATGTTTGCTAATGTCCCTTTGATCAAAGTGCAGAGTTGTGGAAGGGACTAACACAAGGGTGTAGATATAGGGAGATGTTATACAGTGGGGTTCATTACTGTAACTACCCTCTGGTCCCAGTGATCCGTGTCCTTCCCTTGTGCAAGATAAACTCACCCCCTCCCAGGATCCCCAGAAGTTTCATCCTCAAAGTCCAGTATCATATGCATATCAGTCTGGATGTGGCTAAGGCTTCTTCAGTGAAACTCTTTTTGAGTCAGAGATGTATACTAAAAAGACAATTTATTTGTTTCCCTCTACCCCCAACTACCCGCCTAGCACACAGTGGTGAGACATGGACAGGAAAACTGCAATATACACTCCCATTCAAAAAGGGAAGGAGTTGGAGGCACATAGGAGGCCTCTTCATTTTGAACTGTCTCCATCCCTTTTAGTAAAGCTGATATGACTTCTTTAGAGTATATATATATATTTTTTAATTTATTTATTTTTTATTTATATATTTTTGGCTGCGTTGGGTCTTTGTTGCTGTGCGTGGACTTTCCCTAGTTGCAGTGAGCAGAGGCTGCTCTTTGTTGCAGTGCACAGGCTTCTCATTGCAGTGTCTTCTCTTGTTGCACGTGAAGGCACGTGGTCTTCAGTAGTTGTGGGGCACAGGCTCAGTAGTTGTGGCTCATGGGCTCTAGAGCACACCCTCAGTAGTTGTGGCTTTCGGGCTTAGTTGCTCCGTGGCATGTGGGATCTTCCCGGACCAGGGCTTGAACCCATGTCCCCTGCATTGGCAGTCAGAGTCTTAACCACTGTGCCACCAGGAAAGCCCTGATATAACTTCTTTAAAAACTCTTTGGGTTTCCCATGTATCAGATTATATTACTCTATTAAACAAAAAGCTACAATCACATTTCCTTTCCAGATACGCCTCTAATCTTTGGGCAGGGTGTCAGTGCTATGGGACAATACCTGTAAGAATCTCAGAAGCCCTTTTGTCTACTAGGTATCACCTTAACAATTTCAGAGGTCATAACATTTGGGTCTTTTAGCCAAACTCTTGATCTTTACCCTGAGGCCATTTCTTATTTTGAGACTCTTGTTGGCTGGAGAGACTGGAGATGTAAAACAGTTTTATTTTCCAACCCAGCAAGTCTGGCTTGTCTATATTTCCTCTAAATTATGCTTGTGAACTGCTTAGTTGTTTCTTTAACTCTTCTCTTTCTATACATTATCACGTATAGAAGCTAGGTAGAAGCATCCAACTGAAGCTTTTATCAGGCTTTCAGGAGATCTGTTTAGTCAGATGTGAAAATTCATTAGGTATTTTTTCTTTATTCTAAATTAGTCCCCCAGACTGCTAGCTATGTTGCTACTCAGTGGGAGAGCTTTGAAATGGATCATCCAGTTAGTGTTTACCATACCCTCCCTACATGCATGGGTCTCAGACAAAGAAACCATGAATCTTTCTAGAGCTGCAGGAATACCAGTTGTATTAAACTTGTTGAAATGATGTACGTTGGTCTGTAATGTAGCTCCTTTGTCAGAGATTTTCAAGGGATGTGTGTGTGTGTTTATTCTGAGGAGGATCTATAAGATCATATCACTACAGGGACTGGGCAGGAACTTGAATGAGTGAATAGTCTTTTTCTCTCTAACATTTAATTTTGAACAGCTTCAAACATAAAGAAAAAAATACAAAGACTTGTACATTGACATTCACATACCCACCACCTAGATTCAATGATGAGTATTTTGCAACATGTGCTTTACCACCTGTCTGTTCACATGTGTAGTCCTCTACCATCAGTTCAAGGGTAGTATTCAAATATTGCCTTAAATGCACAATAGAGGACAGAGTTTTATATTCCTTTGACCTTTCAGACTTTCTGTAGGCTGCTACAACCTGCCTGCTCTCTTTCCCAACTATCCACTTTTCATTCTTTATTCCCTCCCATCTCACATGCCTTGTCTGGAGTACCTAGCCTTCCATGCTCCTTCATTCTTTGAATCCTGCCTAGCCTTTAAGACCAAGATCATACTGCCCTCTCATGAAACCATTTCTGATCTCTGTATCCTACAGTGACCTCTCCCTCTCCAGATTCCTCTGACCCAGTGATTTGCAACGATGACTATACACAGGAGCCCTTAAAAGTATAAAAGCCTTATCCCTGAAGAGTCTGATTTTATTGATTTGTGGTGGGACCCAAGAATCTGTAATTTAAAACACCACACAGAGGGCTTCCCTGGTGGTGCAGTCAGTGGTTGAGAGTCCGCCTGCCGATGCGGGGGACGCGGGTTCGTGCCCCTGTCTGGGAAGATCCCACATGCCGCGGATCGGCTGTGCCCGTGAGCCATGGCCGCTGAGCTTGTGCGTCCGGAGCCTGTGCTCCGCGACGGGAGAGGCCACAACAGTGAGAGGCCCGCGTACCGCAAAAAAAAAAAAAACACAAAAAAACACCACACAGAGAATTCCCTGGCAGTCCAGTGGTTAGGACTTGGCATTTTCACTGCCGAGGGTGTGGGTTCAGCCCCTGGTTGGGGAACTAAGATCCTGCAAGCTGCGCGGCACGGACAAAAACAAAACAAAAACCCAAAAAACAAACCAAAAAAAACCCCTCACCACACACTCACTGTGTGGAGCAGTCAGTTGTCTGAGTCCTTACATTTATCAACTCATGTGATCCTCAGCACAACCTGGGAGATAAACACTGTTATTCTTAGTTCAGAGAAGAAGAAACTGAGGTGCTGAGAGGTTAACTAATTTGCCTAAGGGTACACTAGTTGGGGACAGATAGGTTCCAAATCCAGGCAGAGTGTTTTGAATCCAGGCTCTTCACCACCATCCACTTCCATTCCTCAGGCCTGAGCAGTGCAAGTGGCAGTGTGAGGGAGGGGAAGGAGTGAGCCCTGCCTGAAGTATACATAGTGGTGGGTTATTCATCCCCTGCCCGAGGCTGAGCTGCTTCATGTAGAACATAAATGCTTAGACCAAGTAGTCTCTGAAATTCTTCGAACTCAGCAAGAGAATTATTCTTTTAATGTAGTGTGCATGATGTCTTCCTGCTTAGATTTAAAGCTCCCAATGGGAAAGAACTTTTGCTTTTATCCCCCATAGCAGTGAGCCTAGCATGTCGGCAGTGATAGATGCACAATGATGCTGGCTGGATAGAGATGGGAGAGTAATGGTCTTTGAACTATTGGCACGAAGGTCATGTATGGGAGGAGAAAAGTTCTTTTTTTCATTGGCTGTAAATTAGACACAAGACATATTCACAAGAGAAAAACAATCGGAAATTTATTAACATGTGCATCATGCATACACATGGGAGTACTCAGTGATGGGTAACTCAGAAGGGGTGGTTAGAACTTGAGCTTATATAGCATCTTAACAAAATAGCAATAACTATAGAGAAGTGACAAGACAAAGGAAAAGGACTTTGAGTTTCTAGGCAGCAAATTGTGGGAAGGTTAATAATATATGGGGGAACTAATGGAAGATAAGGGCTAGTTAGTAAAGGTTTGCTATGTAGATTTCTCTGGTGCCTATCCCTGGGCTGATAAGGGTCTAGAGTTGTATCTGGTGATTAATTTCTGTCCTCCTGGTAGAGAGGGGAAGGGGGACACCTTTGCAAATTTATGTTCTGCTTTTAGGCAAATGGGAGAGGGCAGAGAGCTTTTCTTGTGTCTGCTTATTAATTGCCTTCAGCTCAAAATAATCCTTATGCCAAAGTGGCATATTTTAGAGTGGTATATTCTGTTACCCTTTATTCATCATCCATAGTAAGGTCTAGAAATCTTCTCTACCTCCTCAGGGATGCCTTTTGATCTCTCATCCTGAGGTGTGGACAAGGCAGACTCCTGGATGAGCAGAGGTATGTTTTGTGTTAAAAGGCATTCATGGCGTTCGGGGATGTGGCTGTGGACTTCACCCAGGAGGAATGGAGGCTGTTGAGCCCCGCTCAGAGGACCTTGCACAGGGAGGTGATGCTGGAGACTTATAACCACTTGGTCTCACTAGGTAAGAATGGCTTCCCATAGCACTTAAAGTCTGGCTCACAGTATTTTCTATATGTCACAAAGAAAGGCTACTCACAAAGCAGCTTTGTCTTAGGGTTGGGCTTCAAAACAAAAATTTACCTTTTTCCTCAGGTGGATCTGGATTCAGTAGAGTTGAAAGCAGGTAGATTTATTCATATTGTGTATGCCACTCTGCATTTTTTCCCTTACTTTATCTTGCCCCAAACCCAGGAGATTTTCATTCACCGTGTTAATATGCTGTTTTTCTGATTGGAGTCACCTTTTCTTACTCAACCCTTCTACTGCAGAGAGTTCACTATTCATAGGTCCTCTGTATCACCCTCTGGGTTTCCCTCTCCATTTTGTCTCTGAGTTCTGGAATGGCCCCTTGAGCTCATAACCAAGAGTCTCCTTTTTTTCTTTCCTTATGAGCAGAAATTCCATTTTGCAAACCAAAACTCATTTCTCAGCTGGAGCGAGGGGAAGAGCCCTGGATAGAGGAGAGGCAACGTCCGCTGAGTCTCTGTCCAGGTGAGTGTGACACAGGGTAGTTGGAACCGTCTGCAGCATGGCAGGTAGGGAAGGATGAGGCATGTCTCAGGTACTGGGAGGAAGCTCTTTTCTAGGCCCCTAGTTCCCTGGTAAGGCTGCCTGGCATGACCTCTTTTCCAGAATATCATCTTCAGTTAAGGGAGGGACTTTCCTGGTTTCTTTGTCGCTTCCTTCCACCAGGAAGCCCCCCTTCCTCTTACTTCGCATTGTTTTCTGCGGAGGATACTTGTGACCAGTTCAGTCTGCTGCCATTTTCAGAAGTGGGCTTCATCCTATTTATTTTTGACTTGATATTTGGAAATTACTTCAAAATTACAGAAAATTTGCAAAAATAAAAATAGTACAAAGAACATTCTTATGTCCTCTACACATACACAAATATGTATAAATATATATGGCATATATATTTTTATAAAATGGTATCATAAAATCACCTACTAATATTTCACCCAGTTTGCTTTATCATTGGCTTGTGTGTCTCTTGTGTGCATGCTCTCCCTTCTCCCTCCACCATACGTATGTGTATGTATTTATGTATATGTTTATGTATATATATTTGTGTGTACCTATATATGTAGATTCATATGTGGATGTATGTTAAAAGATTTTCTAAGAATGGTGATATTCTCATATAACCACAGTACAGTTATCAACTTCAGTAAACTTAACTTCAACACAATAATTTTATCTAATACCTATCATCTACCTCTCATAATCATCAGTAGACACAGTAATATTTTTTCCTCTCCAGAACATGACCCAGTAGTGCATTTACGTGGCATATCTATTTAGTCTCTCTTAATATAGACCATTTCAATAACCTCTCTTTAGAAGTATACAGTTCCACAGCTCCTTTTTTAACAGCTTCATTGAGTTATAACTTAAATACCATAATCTACTTACTGTAAGTGTACAGTTCAATTATTTTGAGTAAACATTCCATCACTCTAAAAAGTTACCTTGTGCCCATTTGCATCTATTTCTCCTCCCATTTGAGCTCCAGGAAACCAATGATATGCTGTCTCTATAGATTTGCTGTTTCTGGACATTTTATATAAATGGTATCATAAAATATATATTTGTCTTTGTATCTGGCTTCAATACATAATGTTTGAGGTTCAGCATAATGTTTTTGAGGTTCATCCATGTTGCAGCATGTACTGGTAATTCATTCCTTTTTATTGCCATATAATATTCCATTGTATTGATATACCACATTTTGTCTAGCTATTCACAGGTTGATGTGAATTGGATTGTCCACTTTTTGGTTATTTTGAATAGTGCTGCTAGGAATAGTCATGTACCAGTCTTGATGTGGACATATGTTTTCATTTCTCTTGGGTAGATAACTAAGACTAGAATTTCTGGATTGTATGGTATGTTTATGTTTAACCTTTTAAGAAACTGCATAATTATTTTCCCAAGTGGCTGTACATTTCTATTAGCATTTATGTTTTACGTTTCTATTATGTTTATATTTTCTATTTTTGCATTTTCTAGTAGCAGTGTTTTAGAGTGTCAGTTTCTCTACATCCTTGCCAGCACCTGGAATTGTCTCTAATTTTGATTACAGACATTCTAGTGGGTGTGTAGTGGTATTGCATTGTGGTTTAATTTACATTTCCCTAATGACTGATAATGTTAATCTTTTCATGTGCTTATTAACCATTTGCATATCTTCTTCGGTGAAATAGCTACTCAGTTCTTTTGCCCATTTTTAAGTTGGATTGTTTGTCTTCTTTTTGAGTTGTAAGAATTTTTCATATATTCAAGACACAAGTCCTATATCACATACAGGATTTTCAATTATTTTCAACTATGAAATGAAGTTTCAGAAAAAAGACAAGTCTGTGGATTGTCTTTTCATTCTCTTAATGGTGTCTTTTCAAGCATAAATGTTTTAAATTTCGATGATGTTCAATTTAACAGTTTTCTAATGGATTGTGCTTTTTGTGGTGTAACTATGAAGTTTGCTTAACTCGAGGCCACATAGATTTTCTTCTTTGGTTTCTTCTAGAAGTTTTATATTTTTAGCTTTTACACTTAAGGCTGTGATCCATTTTTAGTTAATTTTTATGTGTCATGTGTGGTGAAAGTCTAAATTCATTTTCTTGCATATGAATATTCAATTGTCCTGGCAGTATTTGTTAAAAATAGTATGCTTGACATAGAGAATGGACTTGAGGACACGAGGAGGGCGAAGGGTAAGCTGGGATGAAGTGAGAGAGTAGCATGGACATATATACACTACCAAATGTAAAATAAATAGCTAGTGGGAAGCGGCCACATAGCACAGGGAATCACCTCAGTGCTTTGTGACCACCTGGAGGGGTGGGATAGGGAGGGAAGGAGGGAGATGCAAGAGGGAGGAGATGTGGGGATGTGTGTATATGTGTGGCTGATTCACTTTGTTATAGAGCAGAAACTAACACACCATTGTGGGACAATTGTGCTCCAATGAGGGTGTTAAGAAAAAAAAATAGTATGCTTTCCCTCATTCAATTGCCGTGGCTCCTTTGTGGAAAATCAGTTGACTGTAAATGATTCATTTCTGGACTCCTAATTTTGTTCCATCGATCTCTGTGTTTCTTCATATGACAATAGCACACTATCTTCATTACTGGGGTCTTATATTAAGTTTTGAGGTTGAGGAGTGTAAATACTCTAACTTTTTCAAAATTATTTTGGCTATTCTATGTTTTTTGAATTGGCACATAAATTTGGGGGTCAGATTGTCAATTTCTACAAAACAAAACAAGCTTACTCTCGTTTTGATAGGGTTTGCATTGAATTTATCAATCAATTTAGGGAGAATCACTGTTTTAATAATATTGAGTCTTCTAATTTATGGTTGTCTATTTAGGACTTTAATTTTTCTCAGCAATGTTTTAAAATGTTCACCTTACATGTCTTGTAATACTTGTGTCAAATTTATTCCTTGATATTTTATTATTATCTATGTTATTGTGAATGGTATTGTTTTCTTAATTTTATTTGTGGAATGTTCATTGCTAGTATGTAGAAATACAATTGATTTTTGTATTTTGAGCTTTTATCATATTACCTTATTAAATACAATGATTACTTATTGTCTCTTTATTGAGGATTCCTTGGAATTTTGTACATCCTGGCTCATATAATCTGTGAACAAAAAAAGAGAGGTTTACTTCTTCCTTTCCAATTTAGATATCTTTAACTTCTCCTCTTCCTTGTTCTGCTATTCCCCTCCTTTAGCCTTTTGGCTAGAACTTCCAGTGCAGTGTAGAATGGAGTTGTTGATAACAGACATTCTTGTCTGGTTTCTGAACTTAGAGGAAAATATTCAGTCTTTTATCATTAAATATGATGTTAGCTGTAGGTTTTATATAGATGCCCTTTATCAGGTTGAGGAAGTTCCATTAAATTCCTAGTTTGTGGAGTATTTTTTAAGAATGGGTATTGGATTTTGTTAGATGTTTCTGCATCTGTTGAGATGTTCATGTAGTTTTTGTCTTTATTTTGTTAGTTTGGTGTATTTCATTAATTGATTTGCAGATGTTAAATGAGCTTTGCATTCCTGGAATAAATCCTACTTTATTATAATGTATAATTCTTTTTGACTTGCTGCTGGATTTAGTTTGCTAATATTTTGTTAAGGATTTTTTCACCTCTGTTCATGAAGGGTATTTATCTGTATTTTACTTTCTTTTTGATATCTTTGTCTGCTCTGGTATCAGGGTAATGACTACATATAATGAGTGGTGAAATTTTCTCTCCTCTATTTTCTGTAAGAACTTGTGAAGAATTTGTATCATTTCTTCTTTAAGTATTGGTTAGAATCCCCCAGTGAAGACATTTGAACAAGGGCTTGTCTTTGTGTGAAGACTTTTAATTACTAATTCAATCTTGTTACTTATTACAGGTCTATTCAGATACTCTAGTTTTTATTGAGTTAGTTTTGGTAGTTTGTGTTTTTCTGGAATTTTTCTGTTTTGCCTTTGTTGTCCAGTTGTCGGCATAAAGTTGTTTATACTACTTTTAATCCTTCTAATTTCTGTGAGGTCAGTAATGATGTTCCCTTTTTCTTTCTTGATTTGGTAATTTCTGTCTTCTCTATTTTTTCTTGTTCATTCTAGCTAAAGATTGTTCAATTTTGTTGATCTCTTCAAAAATCAACTTTTAATTTCATTGATTTTCTCTACTCATTCTGGTTTTCTATTTGATTAATTTTTTATAAATGTATTATTTCTTTCCTTCTGCTTATTTATTAATTTGCTCTTTTTGTAATTTCTTAAGATAGAAGCTTAGACAGTTGATTTGAAACCATTCTTCTTCCTTAATGCAGGCATTTAAACCTATAAATCTCTCTCTAATCACTTCTTTAGCTACATCCCATAAATTTTTTTTTCATCCCATAAATTTTATTATGCTGGGTTTTGTTTTCATTCTGTTCAAAATATGTTTCAATTTCTCTTCTGATTTCTTCTCTGTCCCTGAGTTACTTAGAGGTATCTTGTTTAATTTCTACATATTTGTGGATTTTCCATCTTTCTTTCATTTGTTGATTTCTAATTTCACTCCTTTGTGGTAGAAAAACATGCTTTATATAGCTTTAACGGTTATTTGTTTTTTGGCCTAGCATATGATCTGTTCTGAAGAATGGTCTATGTGCACTTAAAAAGAATATGCATTCTTCAGTCATTGGATGGAATGTTCCATACATATCAGTTTGGTCAAGTTGGTTTATTAAGTTTTCTGTATCCCTGGAGATTTTCTGTCTAGTTGTTTCTATTATTGAGAATAGAATAGTGAAATTTCCAATTATTGTTGAATTATCTAATTCTTCTTTTAGTTCTGTAAGTTTTTGTCTCATGTATTTTGGGGCTCTGTTTTTAGTTGTGGATACCTTTATAATTGTTTTACTTTTCTGATTTATTGCCCTTTTGTCTTTATGAAATACCTCTCTTTTTGTCTAGCAATAATCCTTGTCTTGAAATCTATTTTGTCTACTATTAATATAGTAGCCATTCCAATTCCCTTGTGATTATGTGATTACTGTTTGCATGGTATATCTTTTTTCATCCTTTTAACTTTTAACCTACTTGTGTTTTTGGATCCAGAATGTGTCCCTTGTAAATATCACATTGTTTGATATTGCTTTTTTAATCTAGTGGGATAATCTCTGCCTTTTGTTTGGAGTGTTCAGTTTGTTCATATTTAATATAATTATTGATATGGTTTAAATCTGCCATTTTGCTATTTATTTTTAATATGTCTCATGTCTTTATTTCTCTAGCCTCTTTTATGGCATATTGTTGGGTTTTTTTTATTTAAGTGTACTATTTTCATATCACTCTTGATTTTAAATTTGCTTTGGAGTTATTTCTTAATGCTGCTCTAGGAAATAAAATATGCACCTTAATTTATCACAGTCTACCTCTAATTAATACTAATTTAGTTCCAGTAAAATATTTATACATATAAAGCCCACAATATTGTGTTATATTTACTGCCTTTTATAATAGTTTTTTGTATTTCAGAGAAATTTAGAGGAAAATATACATATGTTAACTTATATTTACCCACATATTTGCCAGTTTCAGTGGTCTTCATTTCTTTCTTTTCTTTTCTTTTGATCCTGTTGCGTGGCATGCGGGATCTTAGTTCCCTGACCAGGGATCAGTCCTGCGCCCCCCCCCCCCACAGTGGAAGCACGGAGTCTTAACCACTGCACTGCCAGGGACATCCCTCGGTGGCCCTCATTTCTTCTTGTGGATTTGAGTTAGTGTCTCGTGTCATTTCTTTTCAACCTGAAGGACTTACTGAGTATTTCTTATAAGGCATGTTTGCTATCAGCAGATACTCTGAGTACTTGTTAATCTGAGAATATCTTTATATCGATTTCTCTTTTTTTTTGGCTGAATCATGTGGCTTGTGGGATTGTGAGATTTTAGTTCCCTGACCAGGGATTGAACCTGGGCCCTCAGCAGTGAGAGCTTGGAGTCCTAATCACTGGACCTCCAGGGAATTCCCTCAATTTCACTTTTGAAGCATAGTTTTGTGAGAATAGAATTCTTTATAGATAGAAGTCTTTTCTCTTTTATTCCAGCACCTTAAATACATTATTCCACTGCCTTCTGGTCTCCATTGTCTCTGATGAGAAGTTAGCACTAGTCATATGGTTTTTCCCCTTGTACATGTTGAGTCATTTTTCCTTTGCTGTTTTCAAGATTTCCTTTTTGTCTTTTTTTTTCTGATAGTCAACATTTTGGCTATGATGTGTCTAGCTAGGATCTCTTTGTGTTTATTTTGGGGTTTGTTGAGCTTCTTGGATCTGTAGATTGTTTTTCATCTAATTTGGAAGTTTTTTGTTTTTTTTTTTAATTTGGAACTTTTTAAGCCATAATTTCTTCAGATTTTTTTTCTGCTCTTTTCTCTCTGTCTTCTCCTTCCTGAGTTACCATTACACATAGGTTTGGTTTACCTGATGGTGTCTTATGGGTTTCTGGGCTCTTTGTTTTTCTTCAGTCTTCCTTTAACTCTGTTCTTCTGTTTTAGGTAATTTCTATTGATTTATCTTCACGTTCACTGGTTCTGTTACAGAGTCAAATATGTTGTGGTATCTCTCTAGTAACTTTGTAATTTTAGTTATTTTACTTTTTAATTTCACAATTTCCTTTTGTTTCTTATTAATAGTTTTTATTCTTTGTTGAGATTCTCCATTTTAAGTTGTTACCATACTTACCTTTAATTTTTCACACATTGTTTTCTTTAGTTCTTTGAATATATTCATAGTATCTGCTTTGAAGTCTTTTTTTTTTCCCCTGTATCAGCATCTGGGCCCACTCATCAACAGTTTCTATTGGCTGCAATTTTTTCCCTAGGTATGTGTCACTCACTCTTTCCTGTTTCTTTGAAAACTGGATATTTTAGATATTATATTGTAGCCATACAATAAACAGGTTGCAGGCTGGATTTGGCCCACTGAGCAGGTTTACTGTTTCCTACAATAAAAATGTAAAGCATAAAATGTGAAATAAAAAATAGATTTTGGGAAGTATGGCTGAATGGGAGACAGCTTGTGATGTGAACATATGAATGACCAGTAGGCAAAGCAAAATGGCCTAGGCAGCCCTACCTATGACTGCTTTGACTGAAAACATTCTTTATTCAGCAGGATCAAAGCTAGAAATTCAACCTTGTCCCTCCTGTCCTCTGGCATTCTCTAGTCAGCAAGCCCTCAGCCAACATGTATGGCTCAGTCATCTCCCTCAGTTTTTCTCAAGTTTACGTGCAGGAAATCATCTCCATTCAGGGAAACAATATTCAGAAGATCAGAAACAGCAGCAGGAGCAAGTCTTTGATCAAACCTGCTCAAGCAACAAAGCAGAAATTCAAGAGAGAGAAGAAGATTCCAAGCTTTTGTTTGGGAGAGTAAGTAAAAGCAGCACTTCAAAGGCATTCTCCAGAACCCTGGAAGAACAGCCAGTAAGGTCCAAGGAAGACAACACAGTTGTGGACATAGTGCCCAGCCCTGCCCAGAGGACAAACCTTGAGGAAACAGACAAAACATTACATGGTTTAGAAGTCTCAGGATTTGGAGCAATCAAATATGGAGAGTTTGGGCTAGGCTTTATCAAGGAGTCAAACCAGCTCAGCCTCCAGAAGACACACACAGGGGAAACCCCTTACATGTACACTGAGTGGGGAGAAAGCTTTAGCAGTATGTCAGTCCTCATCAAAAACCAGAGGGCACACTCTGGGGAAAAGCCTTTTGTGTGCAGGGAATGTGGACGAGGCTTTACTTGGAAGTCAAACCTCGTCACACACCAGAGGACACACTCAGGGGAGAAACCGTATGTGTGCAAGGAGTGTGGACGAGGCTTTACTTGGAAATCAAACCTCTTCACACATCAGAGGACACACTCAGGGGTCAAGCCTTATGTGTGCAAGGAATGTGGGCAGAGCTTTAGCCTGAAGTCAAACCTCGTCACACACCAGAGGGCACACTCTGGGGAGAAGCCTTACATTTGCAAGGAATGTGGACATGGCTTTCGCCAGCATTCACACCTCATCAGACATAAGAGGACACATTCAGGAGAGAAGCCTTATGTTTGCAGGGAGTGTGAGCAAGGCTTTAGCCAGAAGTCACACCTCATTAGACACTTAAGGACACACACAGGAGAGAAACCTTATGTGTGCACAGAATGTGGACGTCACTTTAGCTGGAAATCAAACCTCAAGACACACCAGAGGACGCACTCAGGGGTTAAACCTTATGTGTGCCTGGAATGTGGGCAGTGCTTTAGCCTGAAGTCAAACCTCAACAAACACCAGAGGTCACACACAGGGGAGAAGCCATTTGTATGCAGGGAGTGTGGGAGAGCCTTTACCCGGAAATCAACCCTCATCACACACCAGAGGACACACTCAGGAGAGAAGCCATTTGTATGCACAGAGTGTGGGCGAGGCTTTAATGATAAGTCAACCCTCATCTCACACCAGAGGACACATTCAGGGGAAAAGCCTTTCGTATGCAGGGAGTGTGGTAGAAAGTTTAGCCAGAAGCCAAACCTGTTTAGGCACAAGAGGGCACATTCAGGGAGTATACCCTTTGTGTGCAGGGAGTGTGGACAAGGCTTTTGTGATAAGTTAACTCTCATTACACACCAGAGGGCACACTCGGGGGGGAAGCCTCATGTATGCAGGGAGTGTGGGCAAGGCTTTAGCCGGCAGTCGCACCTTATTAGACATCAGAGGATCCATTCAGGAGAGAAACCTTATATTTGTAGGAAGTGTGGGCAAGGCTTTAGTCGGAAATCAAACCTCATCAGACATCAGAGGACACACTCAGGATAGAAACCTTGTGTGGACAAGTAGTGAAACCTTTAGCCAATAGTCACACGGCATGAAACACCAGAAGTCCCACCCAGGGCTGTAGCTTTAGTAATAAGTCAGCCATTGCCAGACTCTAAAGTAGAAACATCTTATGTGTGATGGGAGTGTTCACGAGACTAATGGTAAGGGTCAACATCTCCAATCCACCTGAAGCAGAATTGCTGGCCCATTTTCAGGGGCTCTGGCTTTCCCTAGTGGGGATGGTAGGTTGTGGAAGGTCTCTCAGGTAACTTGATGGAGAGAGTACTTATTAAGTAGGTTGAAATTAGAGAATTGATACTATTCCAATATCATTTCCCAAGTATACTTGAACACTCCTTCCACAGTAACCTGGATGTTACAAAAACAGCAATTCTAGAGTCCATCTCTTGATGTCTGTCTTACCTTCTGAGAACAAGAGACAGAAACCATGGCTGATTTAATCTTGGTTCCACAGAGCATGACCCAGCAGAGTCAGCTTCAGGGAGAGTCTGGAAAATGGTCAACTCATGGGGACAGAGATAGTGCTTGGGTAGAAGGTTTTATTATACAAAAGGCTGACAGGTAAGAAAGATTGTAGGTATCCTAGCTCTGAGTTTGGGAAGAGGTGTCCATTTTTGGAAATATCATATCTTTGCTTGCTTCCTGGGGCTGTCTCTGGTTTTCAGGTTGAATCCATACTGAAAATGTTTTTATTGACTAGTGTTTTTAGACTAGAAATGTACTATGTACTGTTATGAAGAAAATATATACACACATATACAGAAATACAAAATGAAATTACTTTCTATTCTTCTTTGAGTTACCATACAGCATCCCATTAGTAATTATTTGGTTTAAATTTTCCCAACCATTGTAAAATATACTACTTTTTTGGTTGAGAATACTCTTTTTGAAAATGGCAGTATCCCACAAATTCATTTAGAGTCGTGTCCCAAGGCCCAGTTTTTTTTCATGAAACTTGACTAAATGACTGTGAATTTTCTTTGGAAAATAAATTTTCTAACAACAGGCAGGAAAATGTAGAAATTGTATAATAACTTATCTTTTTATCTCTGTACAGGTATTTAGAATAAATTTGAAAACATAAGAGAAAGTGTATGAGTATTTAGAAAGTGGTGATGTAGGATTTAAAGTACAATACTCAGTGGTTGGGTCATTGGCTTTCAGTTAGGGAAAAAATAAGCATAGGTCCCAAAGTTTCGATATCCAAAGGAGTTAGAGTTAGGGAATCACTATCTCAAATAATATGAGGTGTAAGAGTCATAATTTTTGTTCAAAATCTAAGTTTGAGTGGAGTGAGCAGAACCTGGTGAAAAATTATGAAATACTATCTTAAATGGAGCAGCTGGCATGACCTGCCCTTCTTAGCCCTCCACATGGTAAATCCTGGCCTCATGCTCTTACATTTTCTCAACAGAAAAATACCTTTTGAGTTTTAATCTCTTTAAGCCTTAGAACTTAATTACTCTTTTCCATAAAATCGTGTCACAAAAATAAAGATTCCAAAATTAAACATGTACCTTTCACCAGTTTTTTAGCTTTCAGAAGGAATATTTCAGTTTTCAGTGTAATTGCCTCATAAAAATAAAAGATTTTGCCTTAAATTATTTAAAACTCTCAACAGGAAAAAATAGAGCACTGCTGGTATATGAAGATTTAAATAGATTCAAAGAGATTTAAACTCTGGGAAACATTTCTATGGAGCAGCAACCAAACAGAAAGATCTGGAAATGTTCTGAGAAATAGGTAGAAAGAAGTCCCATCCTTTGACCCTGCCCAAGCCCACCTCTGCTGATTCTTAAACCCACATCAGGCCTTCTGCTTAGAACCTCTCAGAAGAGACAGAATTAGGACAGGTAACCTGAGTTGTCTGCCTGGGCCTAGCATTAAAATCTGTGTGCAAATTTGGAAACTGATTAGGAGGCAAACACCACGTGGTATTCAGATATGTGAATGCTCTCAGTCTTGGAGGGTTTTTTTGGTTTTGTCTTTCAATCTGTGTCTGGACTATCCATCCACTATTGCCCCATATTTCATAACCTGAGGTGACAGCTCTAGATGTTTAAAACAGACAGAAAATGTGCCCCAGAGCAACCACTGCCCATCCTACCAATCCTATGGTAAGTAGTAGACTATACTGCAGAAAATTTTGAAGAAAAGATGATGAACAGTATGAAACAATGAATATTGCTTCAAATCCGTTAAGCCTGTTATGGTCACCATTGAGATGTTCCATTTTAAAAGGAGTAGCAGTAAATTTTAATGTAATTGTTTCATTTAATTCTAATTTATTATTATGGATCAGTGGTTCCCTAAGTATGGTCAGAGGATGTTTGGGGGCCCTTTCAAGTGATCTGCATGGTCAAAACAAGTTTCGTTATAACACTAAGACATTACTTACGTTTTTCTGTTGTGCTGAAATTTGCATTGATGGTGCAGAAACAATCATGGATAAAACTGCTGGGCTTCTAGCATGAATCAAGGCAGTGTCACCAAACTGTACTACTAGTATTATTGTATTTTTTACCACCCCCTACTGTGGTAAAAAAAACCATGCAAGTTCCACTTAAGAATTTTCTACATAGAAAAGGAAAAATTAATTTTGTTAAATCTTGACCTTTGGGTACAACATTTTAAAATTATACTGTTAGGGCTTCCCTGGTGGTGCAATGGTTGAGAGTCCGCCTGCCGATGCAGAGGACACGGGTTCGTGCCCCGGTCCGGGTAGATCCCACATGCCGCAGAGCGGCTGGACCCGTGAGCCATGGCCAATGAGCCTGCGCGTCCGGAGCCTGTGCTCCGCAACGGGAGAGGCCACAACTGTGAGAGGCCTGCGTACCGCAAAAAAATAAAATAAAAAATAATAATAAAATTATACTGTTAATTTTGAGATAACTGTAGATTCACACAGGGTTGCAGGAAATTATATAGGGAGATTCCATGTACTCTTTACTCACTTTACTTCAATGGTAATGTCTTACAAAATGATACTATAATATCACAACCACGATACTAAAATTGATATGTACACATCTTTTAAAAACTATACGTGATGAAAAGAGAAATGCACATAAAATCTTTCATGTATGAAGTTGTTTCAAAGAAGTGCACTTCAATGATTGATTTGCGAGCTGAACCAGCTACGTTTTTATGGACACCAATTTTATTTGAAAGATTAGCTGACGAATTTTGAATAAGGTGACTCAGACTTGGATATTTGGTAGACATTTGTAAAAAAAAATGAAGTGATTTTTTAAAACAGTAAAGAAAGCTGACAGTAATTTTGTTAATTTGACTTTCAAGCAAAAAAATTAGAATATTGAAAAACAAGTTATCTGCCACCAAGAACTTGACAGTTTCCCAATACTTACTCCTTTATGATGAGATTGGTGATGATTTTAATGAATGTGATTTTATAATACCATATAATGAAATATGTTGATGGAAGATCTGCCTAATTCACTGAACCAATATTTTCCAATTAGTACATAATGCTGCAAAATCATCTGTGGGTATATTAAAGTATAAGACAGACAAATGGATTTCAAGAGATAAAAGCCAGATTCCACATTATAAGTAACCTTTAAGAAATTACTACTTGTTGATTTTTGGTGTATTATCAAAGGATAATGTTGACAATTACCTGAAAAGGCTATTAAAACACTCCTCTATTTTCTAACTATATCTGTGTCAGGCCAGATTTTATTTATGTCAACAGGTTAAGTACAGGGGCACATATAAAATACCAGCTATATTCTATTACACTGGACATTAAGGAGATTTGCAAAAATACAAAACAATGCCACTCTTCTCACTTTTTTTTTTTTATGGTGGAAAATGTTCACACCCAAGTGAAAGTGAAACACTTTACTTTTCCCCTTTATGTGTGTTGTTTCTAGATGTTTATGGTCTGTAACCCACACTGAAAATACTACACACACACACACACATCAGAAAAAAAGTTACATGTTATAATACCTAACATACTATTAACATCTATGCTTTATATAATTTAAACTAAGCATAGAAGAAACAAATACAAAGAAAATACTTAACACCTACTGACAGATATAAACCTACAATCTGATGTATGCTGATCTATCTAGACAGAACACAAACTTGGGGCATTTTCACTTCTAGAACTAAATGATATAATTAATCTCCTTCATGCTTTTGGCTATGTCTCTTTCTGATTATACTTGGCAATTATTTTTTTCTATTTTTTAAATCAAAGAAGCAGCTTTATGCTTTTAATCATTTCTTCAGTGTGTCTTTTATATTTTGTTAATTTCTGTTACTGTTTACTAATCTCAAGCTAATTTCTTTTTATTGTATTGATTTTTCAAGCTTATTTAATCATAATTTGATTTATTTATCTTTTTACTGTTCTGAAATTTATTTCATTTCTAAGTGGCGTATAATTTTCATTTTTATTTTCTCTTTTAGACAAGAATTACTGTTTCAAAGAGTGCTTACAAATGGCTAGATGGACATATTCATTTTTACAATATCCTAGTATTTAGCCTTTTATTTTGTAGCATTGTAATCAGTGTATTTTGTGATTTCTTCCATTTTAATTCATAAAGTTCAGTTTTGAATGTGATCAAGCTCTGTAACGTAAAGCAAGTATTTAATGTGTGAGTGTGTGTATATCTATTTTAGTAATATGCCAAAATTAATACAAACGGTTATAAAATTTGATATTTTTCTAGTTATTTTATTCTCCTGTTGTTTTATATTAATGATCTGTATTTTTATTTATTAATTTATATTATATGTTTAACTCATGTAAAATTAAATCTGTGATATAAATGTAGGTATAAAGATTATTAATAGAACAAATGCCATTGTGTTCACCCCAGCAGAAGAAATAAGCCTTAATTATTTTTAAAAACTTAGTACTTCCATTTCTGTGATATAATAAATAAATTTATGATCATGTTAGGAAGCATTTCTTCATGTATTTCAATCAAATTTTGCTTAACATATTTCAAAGCTGTTTTATTTAGACCTGTAGAAATTAATAACATTTCTTCCTGATGAATTTTTCCCTTTAAAAACCCATTCAGTGCTTCTAATTAGTCTGCTCTCAATATTGTTGCACTTGCCTTTTTTGGTAGTATTTACTTTTCTCAATTCTTTGTTTTCATCTTGATACTCTTATTTTGTGAATAGAGTGTCCTATTCAACATAGTGCTGGAAGCCATAGTCAGAAACAATTAGGTACAAAAGAGAAATAAAAGGCATCTAAATTGGAAAGGAAGAAGTAAAACTACCTCTGTTTGCAAACATCATTCTATACACAGAAAATCCAGGTGAATCCACAAAGAAACTACTAAGCCTAATAAGTTCAGCAAAGCTACAGAATACAAGATGAACACACAAAAATCAGTTGTATTTTACATATATATATAAATGAACAACTTTGCTGTATACGAGAAACTAACACAACATTGTAAACCAACTATACTTAAAAAAGTATTTTCATACGCCACCAATGAACCATCAGAAAAGGAAATTGAGAAAAACATCCCATTTACAACAGAATCAAAAAGAATAAAATACCTAAGAATAAATATAATGAAAGATGTGAAAAGACTTGTACACTGAAAACTATAAAACATAAAAGAAAAAAACCTATAAAACTATATAATTTGAGAAGACCTCAATAAATGTAAACATATGCCATGTCCATGGATTGGAAGACTTAAAACTGGTAAGATGTCAGTACTACCCAAAGAGATCTACATATTCACTTCAATTCCTGTCAAAATTCTGATGGCCTTTTTGACTAAAATAGAAAAGCTAGTCCCCATATTTATGGAATTGAAAGGGGACTGAAGTAGCCAAAACAATACTGGAAAAGAAAAGCAAAGTTGTAGGACTCCCGCTTCCTGATATCAAAACTAATTACAAAGGTACAGTAATCAAGAGTGCGGTACTGGCATAAATATAAACATATAGACAAACAGAATAGGATTGAGAGCCCCATTAATAAACCTAAACTGCCATGGCCAATAGAATTTTGATAAATGTGCCAAGACCATTTAATGGGGAAAGAACAGTCTGTTACACACATGATGGGACAAATGGATAACCTAATGCAGAAAAATGAAGTTGAACCCCTACCTTAGTCTACATACAAAAATTAATTCAAAATAAATCAACAACTTAAATATAAGAGCTAAGTTGTAAAATTATTAGAAGAAAACAAGAATAAATCTTTATGACCTTCTATTTGGCAGTAGATTCTTGGATTTGACACCAAACATGAGCAAAAAAAAAAAAGATAAATTGGACTTCATAAAAATTAAAACTTTTTGCATCAGAGGATATTAAGAAAGTGAAAGGACAACCTACAGAATGGTAGAAAATATCTGCAAATCATATATCTGATAAGGATTTAGTATCCAGAGTATACAAAGAATTCTTACAGCTCAGAACAACAACAACAACAACAAAACCCCACAATTTAAAAATGGGCAAAGGTCTTGGGAAGACACTTCTCCAAAGAATAT